TTCATAACTTCTACTCTTCTCCAAGTACAATTAGAATGATCAAGTCAAGGAGGATGAGATGGGCAGGGCATGTAGCATGTATGGGGAGAAGAGGAATGCATTTAGGATATTGGTGGGAAAGCCAGGAGGAAAGAGACCACTGGGAAGACCAAAGTGTACGTGGGTGGACAATATTAAAATGGATCTTAGAGAAATAGGATGAGATGGTATTGATTGAACTGATCTGGCTAAGGATACGAACCCGTGGAGGGCTCTTCTGAACACAGTAATGAATCATCGGATTCCATAAAATGCTGGGAATTTCTTGAGCAGCTGCACAACTGGAGGTTTCTCAAGAAGGGCTCAGCTCCATGAGTGAGTATTAGAAACAGTACGTAATATATCTTTCTTATCAACAGTTTTGGAACTGTACAGTGAAATAGTCCTATCTCGGAAACCGTTCGGAACAGGACACATGTACATATACACTTTTTCCTTAGAACGATCGACACTATGACCTGCCAGAATGCTGACCCTTCCTCCTGGGACACCCTGTATATGCGATTATCGCATTTGTTTATTAGCACGACAGATAAAGTTCATAACGAGGTGTTACACAATTTTAAGTCGTAAACAAATATTAGGGCAATAAACGCGAAAAGAATAAGGGGACAGAAGAAGAAAGTGATACGTTCCCTTGAAGTATTCGGCACAAAACCTTATACGTATTTCACATCGCTGTCATCCGTTCTGTATGTATAGCCCATCTCATCATAATAATTACGTATTGGATTTCACTTTCTCAAACCGGTATACTCGTATATGAACAGTACTGTCTTCTGGGATGTGACGCCGTGTAACATACCAGAAGTTTACCGACGTTTCAGAGGAACGGATATTAGGCCTAAGCCAAGGAAGGAACCAGGAAGAATCAAGCAGCAAACGCTTGGTGTTTGATTGTTTCTGGTTGATTTCTTGGCACACTCTACCATCCCGAAGATAGAGGCAGTACGTTCCTCTGAAACGTCCGGAAATTTTGTACCAGAGTACAGGGTGTCAGGCCTGGTGCTCGGTAACGTTTCTTCAGATTCACCTATCCAGGATCCAGTGTCGTTGTCAATGTAGAGGCTGCTGTTGTCTGCCTGCAGGTGAGGCAGAAGCACGGCCGAGTGTCCTGTTGACATGCCGTAAGAAATTCCCACCACACAACATCCGCATGAGAGTAGCACCTGCAAATGAAGTCGATACACTCATCTGAGTTAATAATTCTGTGGGAGACGGAGCTTCATAACTTTTACTCTTCTCCGGGTATAATTAGAATGATCAAGTCAAGGAGAGAGAGGGTGGCCAACAAAAACAAGACCGTAACTGTCAAACAGTAATAAATATCCGGTCATGAGCCCCAGATGGAGCTCGACACTAATACTTACTGACTGACTGACCGTCAGTCGCAATGTGACTTTGACTTTGACTAACAGATTGCAGTGTTTGAGACTGGAGTATCTGAGAGTGTTCGTCGTGTGACTGGAAGACTTGAATTATGTGTAGTACTTGGAGTGACCTGAAGCGCTACTTCATGTGATTCGAAGTGACAGTTTCTGCGTGGAGATCCATTGCTAGGAGACGACAAATGGAAGACAGAGAATCCTAGTGCGTGTGCAACGGTGAACTGGAAAGTGTGTAAATCAGAGATAGCGCTGTATCTCAGTGCAACTAAAAGAGGTTGTAACCAAAGTGCTAATAAATCCAATCATCTGAACTAGAACCCGTCATTTCGTCACGCGTACCCTTACACGTGACAATATATGTGTGTGTCGAAGAGCCAATGAGAATTACTAATTGAAGTAGACGGAATATTCCACAAACCTGAGGCACTAGTATTCGCGCAGTTCTTGATACGTGGAACAGATATATTTTGTTGTCAATAAAAATATTAATATCCTTGTTTAAGCATGTTACGGTTGATGGACATGATCTCAATAATCATCACTGGATTGACGCTGAGTCATTACTGGGTGTTAGGAAACGCCAGAAGTTGGGGAAATGCGAAGTTCTGTGATTACTTAGTCGCTCGATTTCCGTCCATTGACTGAGATTGCCGCTTGCTGCAGCTCAGTAGATGCTTCTCCACCCTTTAACCTGAGGATGGAAACAGATACAGTTTCCGAAACATAACACCGATGGGATGTATCTGAGACTAGTCACTAGGATAAGGGCCTGTTGCGGGATTTTGTGAAAGAGGTGCTGAATTTTCTCTTTAAAAAAATTAAGCGAAAATGTATCGTTAATAAATTCTCTTACAAACATTAGAAGCATGAATAAATTTGCTTTTGTTGTAAAGGATTTGAAGCGTCTTGAGATCGACGTTTCTATTAATATTGACCTGAAACATCTTCTACAGTCAACGTATACAAATAATGTTCGTTTTATTCCCGTTAACACATCTACAGAAATTCGTAGTCCTAGACAGAAACTCATGCTGGAAAAATATTGTGTTCGCAGGAATGTAATGTTATCTGTAGTGATATGAGAAACTGGATTGAAGGAAATACGGGTGAGGTTATGCATGCTGTGCTCTCCTACTACCGAAACTCTGATTCAATCACGGGTGAATAAATGAGAAATTCGCGATGGACGAACTCGGGTTTTCCCTTCGCGTCTTTTCCATTTTCCTCTGCTAGCCATCATTCCACTTTCCTACCACACTCATTTATCACCGCTCCTTGAGATGTGAGACAGCCCTGACCGGGCAACACATTATCATACCCTGGGTCTTCAAGTTGGGGGCCTCGTCTCTGACCCTACGCTTCAGTGAGGAACTTAAGACTTTCTTTTTTCTAATCACTGGAATCTAACCAAGCATTTTGCAATGTCTGTAGCTTTGACATTACGAGATGTATCGAAGCCACTCTAAAGGTTCGACCACACAGCGCTACGTACGCTATGTTCCCTATGTTAGCTGCTTAGCAGAGTGTACACAGCGTACGTAGCGTACGTAGCGAACATAGCGTAGCGCTCTGTGTGGCCGAACCTTTACTCCAAGATAAACTACACAGCGCTATAGTTGGATACTACGTTGCATGTCTCATAATAGAATATCTGATGTCATGTGAAAATAATTGAACTTGTAGGATTTTGTGTTGTTACAATTTTACAATTAATGAATGCCCCAAAACTCAGAATGTTTTGTTGAATTTGATGTTCTTACGGCGGTATGTTTGAAGGGCATGGTCCTTTGGGTTTTAACGTATAATTCGGGGAGAACTAGATGTTTCTGATGAAAATATTGCCTCCATCTTCAGAGTAAAAATCTATGTGAAACGAGGAATCAGCTTAAGTCCAGTGTGTCGCCTGTTTCTGCTCGATTTCTAGCATCGTTTGCTCTTCGACCCTGAAAATGGAGGAGATATGTTCCCCCAAAACGTCGCGCCCTCTCCGAAATTAACGGTGTTACAGCACACAAGAACTTACTCTTCCAAGTGTAATTTCTATTCTATACTTCACCCGCAAAACATTACAATGCGTTTAGGAAAGACGAGGTGTGTTGATAAGACACAGGATATGTTTATTAGTGCATAGCTTATCCGATTATTTACTTATGTTAATAAACTAGTGAAATGCCCTTTAGAAGTTCAGTAGGAAAACTTGAATATTCTTACTTCTAGAGAATTTCCACAGATAACCGTTCCACTGATCAACCCTTACACAATATAGCCGTTTTGAGACACTCTGAAATCACGGTTTCACTGAATATACACAATATGAAACTGAAAAATTATGGAAAGACAGCCAAATACACTGAAAACAAACTCCGTGGTCTGTAGTCCGCGAGCGAACTATACCGACCGAGCGACCACCGCTTATTGGCGAAGTTAGTGCCAACTCTTTCGGATAGAGGGTGTCACGTGATCAGCGCAACGAATTCCCACGGCCGTTAATCTTGGTTCTCTAGACCGGAGCCGCTATTGCCTTGAAATAACTCCTCAGTTATCCTCACAAGGCTGAGTGGACCCCGTTCCAGACCCACTACTTCTCAGAAAATCTGGTAGCGTCGGGAATCGAACCAGGGACCTCTGGATCTGTAGCCAGGAACTCTGACCACTAGACCACAGAGGCGGTCCAAATATACGAAACATAATAATAATAATATATTTTTCATCAATTTTCGATATTGTATATTTGCCATTTATTTCTGTCGTCATCTGGGGATAGCGTAAATACATGAGAGTAGATTTGTATTTGGATTCCATGGAAACGACAGACCTACAAGCATTAAAAATAAACACTGCTTTAACTGACTGCATATGTAACTACATTTGTATTGCATGCACTACACGTGTTTATTGAAGCCAAGCTATGTATCCAACTTTCGGCCATCTGAACTTACTTGTGGAAGAATCGCTCTGGTAGGTTGTCTTCCGTCATCTTCCTTCTGCATGTTCTCTGCTGGTTACGTGACACAACTGAAGTCACGAATGTGCCCAGGGAATTGTTACACTGTGCCGTGTGTAATTCTGTAACATGTGATAGATGTAAGAGTTGAGGTTTTCACGGTGGTGACCATGAAGAAAGCAGTCTTCTGGGATGTGGCGCCGTGTAGATATTGTGTTAACCGACGTTTCGGAGGAATGTATTGCCTCCATCTTCAGGAAGAAAAATCCGCGAGCGAACCAGCGTGAGCAGGTGCTAACAGACTGCTCACGCTGGTTCGCTGGCGGATTTTTTTTTTCTCTCTCTCTCTCTCTATATATATATATATACATATTGCCTTAGAATATGCAATGAGGAAGGTCCAGGGAAACCAGGTGGGACTGAAATTAAATGGGACACATCAGCTGTTGGCCTGTGCTGATGATGTGAATCTACTGGGTGATAATGTCGATACCATAAAAAAGACACAAACTTTAATTGACGCAAGTAAAGAAGTTGGTCTAGAAGTAAACACAGAGAAAACTAAGTATATGTTGCTGTCTCGTCACCAAAATGCAGGGCAAAATCATGACATAAAGATAGGAAACAGATGTTTTGAAAATGTGACACAGTTCAGATATTTTGGAACAACGATAACAGATCGAAACCTGATTCAGGAGGAAATTAAGAGGCGACTGAACTCGGGTAATGCTTGCTACCATTCAGTCCAGAACCTTTTGTCTTCTCGTCTGTTGTCCAGAAACATAAAAATTGGAATATACAAAACTATAATTTTGCCTGTGGTTCTGTATTGGTGTGAAACTTGGTCTCTGACATTAAGGGAGGAACATAGACTGAGGGTGTGTGAGAACAGGGTGTTGAGGAGAATATTTNNNNGATAGGGACCAGTGGAGGGCTCCTGTGAACACGGTGATGAACCTTTGGGTTCCATAAAATGCTGGGAAATTCTTGAGTAGCTGCAAAATTGGCGGCTGCTCCTCCAGAAGGGCTCAGCTCCAGGAGTAAGTAAGTAAGTAAGTAAGTAAGTAAATATATATATATATGCATATATATATATATTTGAGAATTTGCTAACGTAACCTAACTCTTCACAAATTTATTGATCAGTAATTGAAACTACGAATAATAACTCCATGTTTTCAAGAAAGAAACTTGAATTTGAATTTGCATTTGGTTCTAATTGGATCATACATATAAAGAATCTTCCTCTGGCCCCAGAAATTTCGCTGAATAACTTATTCCCTTATATTACTTACTTATGGAGCTGAGCCATTTTTGAGGAGAAGCCAAATCTGCAGTCACTCAAGAATTTCTCAGCATTTTATGGATCCCGACGGTTCTTTACCATGTTCACAAGAGCCCTCCAGCGGTCTCTATCCTAAGCCAGATCAGTCCAATCTATTCTATCTCTCTAATATCCATTTTAATATTGTCCGCCCACCTACGCCTTGGCCTTTCCAGTGGTCTCTTTCCTTCTGGCTTTCCCACCAATATCCTATATGCATTCCTCTTCTCCATCATTTGTGCTACATGCCCTGCACACCTCATCCTCCTTGACTTGATCATTCTAATTGTACTTGGAGAAGAGTACATGTTATGAAGTTTTCTCCACCCTCCTGTCACTTCATCTCTTTGGTCCAAATATTCTCCTCAACACCCTGTTCTCAGACACCCTCACTCCATGTTCCTCCCTTAATGTCAGAGACCAAGTTTCACACCCATACAAAACCACAGACAAAATTATAGTTTTGTATAATAACTTATTCCCATAAATACAAAATTTCAAACTGTGTTTACACCGATAGAAGTTTATCAGCGTTACAGAGCAACTTTCTGGTGTCCATCTTCAGGGTCGAAGACTCAAATAACTGTAGTCCCATCACAACAGAAACAAATTTCTTTCCAAGAAGCTCATTTTTACAAACGTTTACTTTTCGGTTCTGTTTTGATTGTTTATGACAGCTCTTATTTTTCCCGAACTCCACGTCGTCTGTTCGGTTAGCGTAGCTGTAACGCTTTATTAGGAAGATCCTCCGTTCGAACCTCGACTGGGACACCTGCTACCATGACTCATACTTCTCGTGGAATACCTCAGTCCCTCCAACAGGCCTCGACCGCTTTTTTTCCAATTAATTTCGGATTAATCATAAGAAAACATTCCACCATTCAATGTTAGTCCAGATAACAGTATCGTAAAGTAATCTACAGAAGTTAATCCTCACGTCCCATCAGCGTGAGGCGACCCACAGGTTCAGAAACACTATGAGCTACTTACAGTGTGTGGTTTAATGATGGCTTCCAGTTAATGAACTGAAGCAGCGTATCCATTTACATAGTCAGTAAATAACGCACATATGTAAGCTATATAGTGCGCATATTCCTTTATCTAGACATGAGCGAGATTACAAGATACATGGGAATTCCAGCAGCCAATAAAATTTAAATATATTGAAGAATACAAATGAGCTAGGGTTGCCCTTTTGAACTGCCGGGTAAATTAGCAAGACCAAAAGTTCATTATGGGTTTTTAATGGCAAAACAGTGTGAACGTTATCTTAAAAACGCAGACTTAATTGGTCTTGTTATTCGTGTTATATTGAAAGGACATATTTCTAGATGTCAGTTTCTTATCGACAGAAAAATACAGCTGATACAGCAACTCCATCTCTGAACACTTCTTAACTCCTTTCAGCTGAGTCATTGTTTAGCTCAGCTGGTCAAGAAGTTACCTGCATTTTACGGAACCCTGAAGTTCGTTATTTTGTTTGAAAGAGCCCGCCAATTGTCCAGTCCGTACTCCACACACATTTTCTAAGATCCAAAGGAAGTCCATAAGTATGAAAATGTACAGAACTATATTTTTTCTCGCAGTTCTTTGTGCGTAGAGGCACGCGGTTGAATTTTGTAATTAACCTATTCCTTCCAGCCGCACTATGGCCTTGGCGTAGCGGCCTCCGTAGTCTAGGGGTAACGTTTCCACCTCATAACTCAAGTACGCGGGTTCAAACCCGGCGGAGGTCGTGGAATTTTTAAGGGCGGAAAAATGCAGGGAACAAGTCCTCCGGGAGGGACTTTAAGCCGTGGCTCCCGTGTCGTAGATTTACGGCACGTAAAAGAACCTCATGTCTCTAGGAGACCTCTGAGCAAAATTAGGCAAAAGTTTCCCGCCCAAGTAGTTTCCAATGCCTCCGGTAGATGGAGAAGTATCGGGAGCCACTGCCAGCCTCGCTGGCTGAACGGGGCTGATAGCGAGCACCAGTACCGGCATGGTATGGCGACTGGTAGACTATTAAAATGGGGACGTACAATAGGCTATTAGTCGCGGTGCATGGGGAAAATCACCCCCTCCAATAATAATAATAATAATAATAATAATAATAATAATAATAAAATGGCCTTGGCGTTCACTCAGTCTCTAACAGAAATGAGTAAAGGGCGTCCGGCGTGTAAGGCTAACAACCTCACCGCCATCTGTGAACCGACTGTCTAGGAAACGCGGGAGCCTCGACGTCTCACAACCCTATGGGCCTCCACTGTCTGTTACAGGGATAGCTTTATTTTTTTTTAGGTCTATGTGTTTGTGAAACCTGAGAATAACATAGACTGAGAACGATTTCGTAAGCCTTAGGTGTAAACAATTAATGGGGAGACACAGACAGATGGAGAGACACAGAAGGATACATAGACAGATGGACAGGCAGTAGCATGATCTCATAAGCCTAGTTTTATTTATCCATAATAATGAAAGTAGGCGATGATGACATTGCTAAAGTTTTTCGTCGAACTGTAGATAAAACTTGACACGAATAAGGATATTTTGCACCCCATGACGTAGCTTATATTATCAGTGGCGTCGGGGAAGCGTGTCCAAGGTCTGGGGTCACGGGCACGCGTCATGAACCGAGCACAGAAACGGCAGCCATTCCCGCGAGAGGGCAGGTCGTTACAGCACGGAGCAAGTGGATGCTTATAGGTGTCGGTTACAGCAGCTAATTAACGGGTTCGGACGCTTTGTCACATTCTGTTTACTTTTATAAGTTGGTAATTACCCTTCGTTCTTTCCACGCAGATTCTTGTTTGAGGTGCTCACGCTGAAGAATAAGAAAATCATACATTCTACTCTGAAGATGAAGGCAGCAGGTTCCACCGAAACATGGAGTGGGAGTGGATAGATCCACACTTTTTACCTCGGCACTCTTTGTAGGTGAGTAGTTAGCTTCACGCCCCGGCCGCTTTATCTCCGGTTAAAGAACCCCGGTATCCATTGGATAGGCGGTTTGGTGGACCCCAGAGCCGGTCTGAACGACGTGGAGAAGAGAGAATTATTGATCGTACCTGGACTCGAACTCCGACCTCTCAGTCGTCCAGTCCGTGGCAAGACGCTATAACGACTACGTTACCGGTGCTCCCATCAAATGTTATTAGATTATTTAATTAATCTTGTGTTTAAATTTTTGTCATCTGAAGGAGAAAGCTCTAGATCGCATTAAGTGGAGGAATTGTTTTGGAAAAGACTGTGGACCTGTCGTCTTGACAGATTACTGATGAATGAATGAATGTGTTTAAATTTTTGCTAATTATTTTAATCATGTACACTGGACCACGTTCCCAGGGCTTCCATTTCCCCAACAGAAAATTCCTGATTAGGCTGAGCAGCTGTTCTCTCTCTCTCCCTAACTTTCCACTCGAGCAGCTAACCGACATTACAAACTAACAAGAGTACTCCACGGTGTACAGTCCTATTTCTGACTTATTTAACGACCCTGACGCATTCTCAAACTATATATCATCAAATGGTAGGATGACTGATGACTGATGACTTGTAAAATATTTGGCTGGAAGCGGCCTTGATCTATCAACGGTATTATGATGGTATTTGTCTAGAGCGGCTGAGGAATACCACGGAAAATTTGAAGTCCAAAGCTGGTTTCCCAAATTGAGCTGCTCAAAATCATTAACACTGCGCGGTAAGTGTCCTTGAGAGAAACTAACAAACCTTGAGCTACTCAGTTTCTTCGACTTTTATGGAAACCGAAGATTCATTACCTTATTCACAAAAGCCCACATCCAGTCTCATAGTGTGCACCTTAAACACATGCTTGTGTTCCTGTGGGCGTTATCCATCCATTGACGCGTCAGTCTGTCGGTATGTAGCAGCCAGAGTTTTAGTAATTACGAATAGCGCCACCAGATGGCAGTTAGAGGTACCTGTGTCTCAGTCGGCATTGTAGTTTCCACCTTTTGCCAAATAAACTGATCGTCCGTAGCGTGCATATTAAGAGAAGACTTTGTTTAGTGTCTGTGAGTAGATGCATTCGAGGGGTCGTTTGTGGAAACTGTAGCTAATCTGTGGATTGTTTATTCCGAAGGCTCCACCAATTTCCTTCATCTGAGGCAGCTCGGAATAATATGCGCGGTGGGAAGATTGCGCAGTGTGCATGGACAAGTGGGATGCATGATGGTAATTTGGAACTTTCAGGCGTCTGTCAGTGTTTCCGTATCTCTACTGTTTAATGGTGAACTGGAGACCGAATTTTCGGTACTCTCTTGCCAGTTAGGAGCCCGGGTTGAAACCCGGGTCTGATCAAGTGGGATTTGTGGTAGACAAAGTGGCGCTGGGGCTGGTTTTCTCCGAGTACTTCGGTTTCCCCTGCCAATCTTCATTCCACCAAATTCTCCATCATCATAATAACATGGGGCAGGCTACAATAGGCCAATCAATGGTCGCCGTACCGAGTGGACCCAACTGGACTCCACCCCCCACTATGCAAAAAAAAAACTCTGAGGAAGTTTATTTTTATAGACAGCCTTTACCTATAATATTACCTCCAAATCACATAAACTGTTAGTACATATTGGTATTCAAGTGGAAATCTAAGGTATCTCTGAGAATTAGTCATACTGTTGAGTACGCAATCTTACAGAACTGTTGTGTGTTCCGAGACAACTCCGGCATTGCGATTTTGAACCTTATTGTGTGTTCAAAATAGAGTCTATTAATTTTCTAGTGATAATTTCAGTATCTGATGATGACACCCTAAAGCACGATTTTCGTACGTCATAATATGGTTAGTATCTCAGTATAAACATACCTTTACGGAAATTTTCAAGTTAATAGCGTGGATTGCCTCCAGATAACAGCACTGTGTACTCCATATTGTCATTCTATCAAGTTTAGCATTTTAGTACATGTGTAGCTTTTTTCCAGAAATAAGGTTTAAGTATTTATGACAAAGTTCGTTTTTAACCATTACTTCTTAAATTTAAACGAATTTATGCAACTACGTTTCATAATGTGGCATATTTGCACAACGCAAGAACTGTGGAGCCGTTGCTAGCTAACGGCTCTGAGACAACGGCCGCGGAACAGACAACGGAAATGTCCGTTGCTATGTAGCAGACTCTGAACAAGCAGAAATAGACTACCACTGCTAGGGAACGGCTCGGTAAACACGTTCTCATTGCAACGGTTGGTGTCGTCTGCTGGGGCCGTCCCGAGGAGTTATAAGAAAGAAAACTGGGACGACAGTCAGTTCTGTAAGGGAGTCTGAAGAAAAGAGTCCTTGGCAGTTAAGTTGTCAGTTGAAAGTCAGCCTGTAAAGGAAAGACTACGAGGTGGTGTGAAATGGCCGAGAGCCTGGGAGTTAGTCAATTGTAACAGAGGCGGTTGGAAGTGAGCCGCCAGTGAGAGAGGACTTGGGGCCGGAAACAGAAGAATAGCCATTGTTAGAGGCCGTTACCAGACAACGAGTAGTGACGATACTGTGGGCTGAAAAAGACTTAGCGTGGGCAATAATGATTTGTAAATTTGGAAATCAGCGATGGCTCTATAATTAAGTGTAATTACGGGTTGTGTGTTAAAGTGATCAATAAATCCAATATCCAATCCAAACCTCCCTCGAGAGCCACTCATACACGTAACAATACGTTTCTGATCAGATAAATTAACTGGTTCCTACTTTACTTATCTAATGCGGTAGTTACCTCTGTTGTGCTTTGTTCACAGGTTCTTTCAGACTGAGTACTTTTCTTTCTTGTCACCCACATCACGTTGGGCTGTCGGAAATAATCTTCAATTTGTTCCAGTGTTCTCCCTTGAGTTTCAGGAAGGAAGAAATACACAAATATCGTGCAAATTAGGCACGATATCCCGAACATCAGAAATAATCCGTGTATTTGTAAATTACGCAATAAGGAATGGTAGAACTTTAAAGTGCCTCCCAAAACAATATCGTTTATAGTATAAATGTAACCACACGCGAACCCTCTGACATGCGCTGCTTGGGTTTCGCCTATCATCAGAATTGTTAACTGATTGAAACCAAAAGAGTGGAACCAAATGAATAAAACAGTCAGAGTCAGGGTCAACCAGTCAGACCCAAAGGAAATATTTTGTATTGACTGGAGAATCAACACCACGCCGAGCGTTAGTGCTGACATAGTGATCCCTACTCCCGATATTAGTGCTAAGGGTCTGCGGCCTACTCGAATCATCAGTAAGGTGGCCGTAGCATTGCCCACAATTCGCACAAATGACATTATCACCGCGCTGAAATTTTCGTCCATGCTGTTTTCCTTATCACCAGCTTCCCTGATCTTCAATAAAATGTCGACTGCGTAAAACGTGAAGATGCCGAAACCACAGAATATTTGAATTGTGTTGAAGAAATGAAGAATGAAGAAGGGCTTGAGTATGCGAGACGTGAAGAATTCTCTGCAGCTCTTCAGAAATCCTTGATGGCTTCGGCTCTGTCGGTGCGTTGAATTGTTTCGGCTTATCAGAAACGCCAGATCTTCTTCTGCCTGAAATCCGACTCAACTTTATGTTTTATTTATATTTATAAAACATGTTATGATGTTATGGGTCACGATACAGTGTAGTGGTGTAGGGGATTACCGAAATTTTCTCTATCCTGAAGATGGAGTCAGTAGTTTTCTCCTCAACTCTTTCGTAACCACTTTCCAGACTACACGGTTTCATGGCCCCTAAAATTAAAACCGAAATATGTAATTGTTCATATCCGTTTTTAATAAGCATTGCTTTTAGTCACAAGAATGTACAACTATCCCTATAAGAGGTCGTGGAGGCCCATAGCATTGTGAGACTTCGAGGTTCCCATAATTTCTAAACAATCGCCTCACAGATGGCGGTGATGTCAGCCTTATGCGCTGGCCACTATTTACACTCCAGGAAGATTCCTGGTACTCGTTTCTGTTAGAGGCTGAGCCGACCCCAGGGCCATAATGCGGCTGGAAAGTGTAGGTCAATTAAAACATTAAATTACCTCACCGGGAATCGAACCCATGATGTTCGGGCTTGTGGAATAATGTCTCAACCAACTACGCTACTAAACTACGTTTAGACATAATTTTAGACGTAGGTCAATTAAAACATTAAATTACCTCATCGGGAATCGAACCCATGATGTTCGGGCTTGTGGAATAATGCCTCAACCAACTACGCTACTAAACTACGTTTAGACATAATTTTAGACTAGAGAAATGAAAAAAAAAACAATAGAACGTAACAAATGCTAATGTAATATACGTGAGCATCACCTTATAAGGCTCTAACATATGAGAACGTGGCACACCACAAGTCTACATACACGACACCAAGACTTCCCTCTGTGAATTAAATGCTTGAGCAATGCAGCAGGATGCTGAAGCATCAGAATACAAGAGCATAAGCTGGCTTACCTCCATCTCTCGCCCTGGACCCCACAGCCATTTCAAACTTCGCGCTGCTTCCTCTAGTCTTCCCTTCCTCGCGAGCCAGGAAGGGCTTTCTGACACAAGCACCAACGGCAGCACAGAAAGAAGGAAAACTGTGGTGGTGACCCAAGCGGCCCTGCGCCAGGGCCATAAGGTACCCAGGCTGGTGATCGCCATTACCCCAATGGACCCAAATGTTATTACGATGCATACGGTGAAGCCTCTGAACTTTGGGTCAGCCAGTTCATCAGCGAGCACCTGTTTGGGCACAATCATACAGCAAACCGTAAGTAAATTCAGGGTAGTTCCTCCGAAACGTCGGTAAATTCTAAAATACTATATGGCGTCAGAACCCAGGAGGTGGTATTCATTGTCTCTAACTAGTGTACACATCACCAGTCCTTATAACCCTTTCAGATACTGAAAGGAAAGAAAGAGGAACATGAAAATAAATGGAAGAATAGAAGGACGGAGAGAAGGAAAGAAGATGGAGTGAGGAGAGAAGGACGAAGAAAAGGAGAGAAAAAGTTCAGGGAAGAAATAATCACCTACTTTCCTTTCACCACAAATTTTATATTTGATGCATGTCACATTGCTCCCTCATTAAGGCTGCTCGTCCAGAGTAGCCTACAGGCCTACCGCCATTTCTTCTTTTCCGACGGGTCATGCCTCTGACGTCTATGATCGCCGTCACGTATGGCACCGCGAGTTATAATTTTCTCGACGCTTCTTCCGATTTCGACGACGTTCAGCCTACTTTTCTTAGTGGGTCGGGTCTCTCACTGTTGTTCTCCAACAGCTCCATCCTTAGGGCTGCTCGTCCCGAAAAGGCATTAAAAAGTTATTAGGGACACGCACACACACACAGAGAGAAACCGACAGCAAAACGATACCGTAAGCTTTACTTCATTCTTTGAAAGTAACGAAAATAGACTAAAAACCAGAAGAGAGAAATGCGATTTCTGGAAGCGATTTATTCCTCGTTCTGATGCCTTTTAATCGCATGAGTAAACCATCGTTTCGCCCGAGATTTATGTTAAATATTGTGACAAAAAAGATTTCATTGTGGATGAAATATGTTCCTCAGTACATGCAGCAGCCCATAGATGGCATAAGCTTACGTGATCTTTTCTACGTTTTGTAATCATTTCTCTGTGAATGAATTTTAGAATTCGGTTCAAGGTCGACAATGTAATATGTTTGTTTACTGAAGCCATGTTTTTCTTGTCCATTCATATTATTATGCATTGTCCCTCTTATATTTGCCAAAAATACGTGAGTGGGTGTGTTACCTATTTGTTAAGAGGGCAGTTGAGTCGGAATAGCGACGGGTTACTGGCTGGACGGCCGGGGTTCGATTCCCGACAAGAGTAAACATTTTTCTCTTCTCAATATCATCGAGACATTCTGAGGCCCAGTTAGACTTGTACCCAGTGGGTTCCGGGGTCTCTTTATGCTCGACTAAAGTGGCCAGGACATGAAACTGGACACTCACCTCAACCTAGTGACCAGTTGAAGAATGGCGAAGCCATACCTTCACTTCCATATCCGCCTTCATGGTGTGTTCTTTAATTCATTAAGCACAGGGAGAACTTCGCTTTGCAGGGTGCTACTGTCCCATTGCCGCGTGCTTCGACTGAATTGTGTGCATAACAAACATAAGGAATTGTCTGTCATTTTGCACTTTTAGTAAGGAACCGAATATTACAAGCTGACCCAAAAGCCAGTTAACCTAAAACAGTCACTCGTATTGATGAGTGTTTTCAAATTTGAACCTGCCAATCAAATTGTAGAACTGTAACACGGCCTTGTAAGCTTTGCATTGAACATGGTGGATCTCATTTCAACAATTTCTATAAATTCAGTAAGTAATAAAGATATTTTGATGTAATTTAGTGACAGTTTACTATTATTATTATTATTATTGGAGGGGGTGGGTTTCCCCATGCACCGCGACTAATAGTCTATTTTACGTCCCCCTTTGATATTCTACCAGTCTCCATACCCTGCCGGTACTTGTGCTCGCTATCAGCCCCGTTCAGCCAG